AAAGTAAAAGTAAAGTAAAAGTAAAGTAAAAGTAAAGTAAAAGTAAAAGTAACATGAAGTAAAAGTAACAGTAATGTAAAAGTAGAAGTAAAAGTAGAAGTAGAAGTAGAAAAAGTAAAAATGTAAAAAATGTAAAGAAAGTAAAAAAAGTAAAGTAGAAGTAGAAGTAAAAGTAAAAAATGTAAAAAAAGTAAAGTAAAAGTAGAAGTAGAAGTAAAAAAAGTAAAGTAAAAGTAGAAGTAGAAGTAGAAGTAAAAAAGTAAAAGTAAAAAAAGTAAAAAAGTAAAAGTAAAAGCAAAGCAAAAGTAAAGTAAAAGTAAAGTAAAAGTTAAGCAAAAGTAAAGTAACAGTAAAGTAACAGTAAAAGTAACAGTAAAAGTAAACATAAAAGTAAAGTCTCCCTGTGTAAACCATGTAAGTCAGTTGCCAACAGCTGACTTACCCGCAGCTAATTTCTTCCTGGACTTTCCTCCTTTTCTTCGCAGGTCATGGAGACCATCGAGTGGATCTCCGACTACTTCCTCAAACTGCGGTTGTCTTCTCAAGACTACCGAAGTTTTGGATTATTTTCCAAGTGGGCCCCATACCTCGCTCATGTCCGACGTCTCATGCAGTATCTGATCCACCGTCTGATTGACTCCAGAATGGACAGTTTATCGCGGGAGCCTGTGGGCAGCAACAGGGTGTTTGAAGGTAATGAAGTTTGCGGTCCCCTTTTATTGAGCCTCGTAAAAACTGATCCCGGCCAGGAGTCCCGAGAATCCGTCCAAACTTTGGGCTCCAGATTTATTGTGTGTCTGTTTCTTTTATTCGTTGGCTGATTAAATTTACATGCTGCCCATCTCGCTTGTGATGACCCGGGACAAGGCACGAAGGCCACACAGCCAGATGAGAGTTCAAACTCCCCTTTAATCAGGGGTGGGATTCTACCGGTTCAGACCAGTTCGGGAGAACCCGTAATTCCGGTGATCATTTGGCCCTGCCCTAGCCTCTCTTTTATTTCCGTGTTTAGCAGCTCAGCTGATTCGCGCGGCGCAGCGGATTGCCACACTTCAGCTCTTTTTCTCACCGAGGCTGCCGTGGTGTCATAAAACATTTCTGTGCTCTTGTTAGAGTTGCCAACAGAAAGGGAGCGGGGAGCAATACGGCAGCTTGGAAACCAAAAGCGCATTCCATAAATGTTTTCAAAGATAGTAACTAGGTGACCGAAGTTTCTGCCATGCGAAATTCTAACTGGAGAACATGATTGCTGACTCTGGGCTATGGATGTGTCCCGTTGGAGAATATGAATTATGATACACCCAGGGGGTGGGGGGAAACCAGGGTCAAGGGTGACAATGAATGATGTGTCTCAGAGTCGGCTACATCCAGGTAATGCCAGACCTGTGAACTCCCAATAAATCCTTTTGAAGTTTTGGAAGTTTGGCTCGAGACTCGTGATTTAAATGGGAGTAACTGCCAGAATCCTGACAAGTAGAAGGTAAGTATTGGAGCTGAAAATGGGTAGTTTTCAAATGCTGTGTGCGCTCACTGAACCAGCTTGTTACACCGGTTGAATCCCACCCCTGCTTCAAATTTCCCCCAATTGCCCCCACGTTCTTGGCAAGTCCCAGAGCAAAGCGCTCACACACAAACACGGCAGGCTCTGGTTGCACCCAGTCCAGCAAAGCAAAGGAACCAGGGAAATGAGTCCACAAAGCAAGGAACGAGGCACGGAGTCCACAAAGTAAGGAAGAAGCAACGTAGTCCTGCAAACTCCAGTTTGCAAAACTCTACAAATTCAGCATTTGTTCCCGACAAACGTCCCTCCCCACGGCGTTTCCTTAAGTCTCACTCCCCAGGTATGCTTTGTGAAGAGGGGTGGGACGCTCTTCACCTGAGTTGTTGGGTCGGCCTGCGCCGTTCCCGCCTTCTCTCCACTGTCCGTTCCCGTCTTCTTTCCACTCTCCGTGCTCGGGGATCGGGAGGGAGCAGTCCTTGCTCATCGCCTCAGCTCCATCGCTCCTCATTTCCACGGCTTGCCGTCTCTCAGTCATCCTGCCCCACTTCCCCTCAATCCTGAGGGGCCCTGGGCTGCCTCGTCCTGCTCCTCCCTACATTCCTCCAAAGCCAATGAAGCTGCCACCTTGATCGCTAGTCCTCTTCCGCAGATTCAGGCTCCCACGGGGGCATGACATCGCTGTTCGAAGGGGCTCTGGCTGGCTTACGCTATAGTAAAATAATAATAACAGAGGTATCAAAACAATTATGAATATAAAAACAATGCAGGTCATTTATTCTGCCTAATGGTAGAGTAAGCCTTGTCTTAACTCACGTTTACTCTCATGAAAGGAAAGACACGTTTGTTTTGGGCGAGCGGGAAACACAGAAAGCTAAGAACAATTTCCAGCTTCTGAGTTGCCCCTTTGGAATTCCTTAAAAAGTTGGTCATGCGTAGTTGGAAGCAATTCACTAGAACTTTCTCTCTCTCTCTCTCTCTCTTTCTCTCTCCTTTTCAGCTTTGCATTATCTGTTTTTAACTACCATTCAACTCTTCAAGCCATGGCTGGAGGTTTTAGAGGGGGAAGAGACAAGGTAAGTGGGAAGCTGTTTAGGAGGTTAAAGAAAATAGAATTGACCTGGGATCTTCACCTATTTGGGGAATGGTGGACAGCTTGGAAATTTTAAGCACGTGTTTTTGGTTCTTTCTCTCCTTTCCTCTCTTCTCTCTCCTTTCCTCTCTTCTCTCTTCTCTCTTCTCTCTTCTCTTTTCTCTCCTCTCCTCTCCTCTCCTCTCCTCTCCTCTCCTCTCCTCTC